AGAGAGAGAGAGAGAGATTTGATTTGCTTTGTCTTGTCCTGCTTATTTTGGGCTTTTAATATGAGGTTTGGCATTTGTATGCAGTGTGAGAAACTGCATACAGAGGTTGCTGTGTTGCCTGGTTTACGGGCAGAGCTAGAAGCGTTGAGGCGGAGACACTCCTCTGCATTGGAGCTCATGGGTGAACGTGATGAAGAGGTAATCATGTTACTTCTCTTTTGGGGAGCAAACCTCACTTTTGCCACTTAGAGCTTTTTATATATTTAAAACTACCACCTTTTGTTTTATGCATTTCAAAATTTGCCCAACTTTTAGTCATCTTTCTTTAGTGTTGGATTTTGCACATTTTAGTTCCAGAAGTGCCCTTCATCTCTTCTCAAATGCTATGTATTCTCCTAATGAATCCCCAAACTCCCTGATTTTTCTCCCTGTAGCAAGGACTACCAGGTGGAAACCATCAGTCTCTCTCAAACCCAAAAATTTCAAGATCTCTGTTTCTATACCAAACCCAAAGTCGATCAGCAAAAATCATCTTTCTCTCTCCAATTTGGTGCCACAGCTAGAGGAGAGAGCCTAACTTTTGTGGTTCACAGTTGATACATGGAGACAGCTTGCTAGTCAGGTGTTGGAGTGTGGAGAGGGAAAACGTCTGAAATTCCTGGTTCGGGCTTTGAGGGGAAGGACATACTTGGAAATGTTAAAAAAGTGGCAATAATTGAGCATAGTTGGAGAGTTGGGTGGTAATCTTGTCATACATAAACAAAAGTTGTATTTTTTAATGTATGAGACACTTGTGGCAAAATTGAAGTCCCCCCTTTGTTCTTTGATAGACAGGGAAACATGCTACTTTTCACATCCATAAACTGATCCCTTTATTATTATTTAGGTAATATTCTGATTTTTCATAATAGAATCTTAGTTTGGCTATCCATGTTTTAGTGATCCGGCCAATGGTCTTTTTACTCAACCAAAAAGAATGTTGACAAACGAGCATAAATCTTCCAATTCCCTATGGTTTTCCACTGTACTAAAAGAATGGGTAATAATATGAAAATATATTACGGATTGTCTACAAAGAGACCATTTAACTTTTGCACAAGGAGGTCACAACTATTCCCACTCATTAGATGTTAAATTGAATGGCTTGGGGAGAGTCACGAAGTTCGAGATTTTTTTTTTTTTGGAACTTTGTGTCTAATCAATAATACTTCTGCAACCACCCATTTGAAATCTAAGCGACGAGAATGATTGTGACATCCTTGTACAAAAGGTAAATGTTCTCTTTGTAGACAATCCAATATATTATGATTCTTATTTTGTAATTATTATCCATTTCTTTTTTTTCTTGGGTCTTGCATGCACCATAAGATGAAACTTTATATATATATCTCACTTGAATCATTAATTGTCCATTTTTTAATTTCTAATTTTGGATCTTTTTATTGGCAATGTAGTTGGAAGAACTCCGAGCAGATATTTTCGACTTGAAGGAGATGTATAGAGAGCAGATAGATATGCTTGTGAACCAGGTTTGTTTCTCAAGCCTTATCAATTATCTACTGAAGTTCCTTATTCTTTAAACTTCAATTTAATGCAGAATATGTTACAAGGACATGGACACATCCTAAGTGGCTCACACGAATACTAGTTATCAAACATGCAATCCCAAAATTGCTCTTTAAGACACGTAACTGTACATCATTTAGAAATGTCAAAGGTGGAATTTTATCTCATGAGGTACTTTTATTGTGGCATCTCAAATAAGAGATGTTGAAGAGAAGCATCTAGCTTCCTATGTGTTAGGCGTGGATGTCGTCTCCTAAGTTTGTTGACATGATGCACTTCTCTGTGTTATATAGAACGAATAGAATGAAGTAAAGCATGTACGTATTTGCTGTGATATACATAGGCGGAGTATCCATCGTCCTTTCAGAAAACAGATGTTGGAGACAAGTTGTTGTATGGCACAGCTCTGGCATTTGTTCGATCTGGTCTGTACAAGGTTCATCTCCACCATCCTTTTTCTGAATGGATGGCGGATGTGCTCTATACGTACGTAACTAACTCATACACATTGTGTATAGCTTTGTGGAAAGCTACTGGGTTCGGAGAATATAAGGAAAACCTTCTCCATTTTGAAAAAAATAGAAAGATAAAATAAAAAAGTTCAAAACTGTTGTTTACAAATGTGATCTCGGGCTCGGACTTGCAAGGATCCCGAGCCCAAGTCAGTTAGAGAATTGGCTGAGTGTGAGGCAATGCTGGGCCAATTTTATTTAAAATGAATGACATGGAACCTGGGTTGGGAGGATTGCCCGAATTTGGGCCACTCCCTTTGGATTTGTTAGGGTCTTAAAACTTGAGCCAGACTCAGGCAATTATGAGTTGGCTTGGTGGTTCTTATGGGGTTCAAACCACTAAGAGTTTCCATCTGCAGTAGAGGAAAGTACTTTCTGCCATTGTCAAATTATTATTATTATGGAATTGTATACAGTGTCATAATTACTTACAACCATCTGCTGTAAAATCTAATAGCTTGGATGTGTGACAAAGTTCGAAAAATTTCTTTTGAACTTTGAGCTTGGTCAAGAAATAAATGCAACTATCCAATTTGATATCCAATTGTCAAAGATTATTTGTGACCACCTTGTACCAAAAGTAAATGATCTTATTGTATACTTTTCCTACTATTATTATTACTTTTTCTATTACTATTACTGTTACTATTAACTATTATTACTATTATTATATTATTATTATTGTTGTTATTGTTATATATAGTTCTTACACATTCCTTTGTTGTTAACAGATACAAAAGCTGAGTTTTTCAGTCAATGCTAGTTGATGCGCCATTGTGGTCTCTTTTTTTTTTGTTTTTATTTTTGTTTTTGTTTTTTAATCTCTTGATAATTGAGTATAGAGGTCAAAGACAAGTTATTTGTGGTGTTGTTTCTTTGGTTTCTTGTTGTCTTTCTTTTTATTTTTCCTTTATGTGAAAAATTTGTATGTTGTAAGTCATGGGTGGGTGGAAATTTCACCATGGATGGCCTGAGTAGGATTTTGGGTGTTAAAATCAAATATAGGGATTGGATCGTATCTTTTTTTTTTTTTTCTTTTTTAAATAATGTAACATAAGGGGATCATATGCTCTCGTATAAACTGGCCAACCAAGCCTGTTCTCTTTGCTTTTCTTATTCACGGAAGTTGGGTGCCTCAATTTCTGTCAGTAGTTTTTGTTATAGCCAAATGACTATATGCTCTTATGTGAGTGGATTGTACATTTGCACCCTCAGGCCTAATCGCACTTGGGAGTAAATTTTGGGGAGGTAGAAAAAAGGAAAAAAAAAAAAAAAAACTAATACACACACACTCGTTGGACACTTTAGAAGTGCTTGATACAAATCATCTCCAAATACTGAACAGTGTTTGTGGTGATGGCACTCCAAATAAATCAATTTAAAAGAATTGTTCGCCTCTAATTGATCATCTCTACTTTAAGATGCACTAATATGGAAATAAAAAAAAAATTATATTCCAAAAATGGTGTTTCTCGTAATACATTATCTAGACCATCCATTTTTAATATTTCAATTGTGTGTGGATCTATCCGATTTGGCTTGGCTTTTGAGTTTTATATATTATCAATTAGATGTGAAATAGATTTTCAGATCATGTTGAAATTTTGGATGCTAAAATTACATCTTTGGACAAAGCCGGAGGTGCACTTTGCTTGAATCTTTTAAGGTTTGTTACTTATGCAAGCGGCACCCATTATAAAGTGATTCTTAAAATTTTCACTTGAGGTTTTGCTCGAGGAAATAAGTGTGGAAAGGGGCTTGGTCGTGGGGGTAGCACCCCACACTCTAATTACCACGCTGTGGTTTTCATTCTCATCACTAACACCAACTTGTTAATACCTACCAACTTGCTAATACCTTCAAGAGGTTAAGTCCTAATCTATTTGAAAAAACACCTATTCTATTTGAATTACAAATTTTTTTTTTGAAAAAACAGGAGGGGCTGTCTTCCCCCACTGAATTACAAATTTTTTTTTGAAAAAACAGGCAGGGATTGACTTCTCCCACTGAATTACAAAAAAGGGATTGACTTCTCCCACTGAATTACAAAAAAAAAAAAGAAAAAAAGCCAAGTGTACAATTTGCTCCTGTTGGAATGTGCTATGCTATACGTGCCCATTGCTGTCTTTCGTCAAAAGAGAGAGAGAGAGTCACTCCATTTTGTCAGGGAGAGCATGGAACTCCCAAGGTCTATTCTATCTCATCTTTGTGCGATGTTTACCGGGATAGGTGTACCATGTGCGTGACGTTGCATCAATGATAGACGGTAGAGGGAGTAAATGGATGGTATGTTCCCCGGAAATATATAATTTTTGCTAATATATGCAATTTCTTAAATCCAAAAGATATTGTACTCTTGCAGGAGTATCTTTCATTTGTCAGGCTTCCAAGTGTTTTATGAGTCTCAATATAAATTGGTTTTCTAATAGATTGGCACCAAAATCAAACTACAATGTATGTATATCTTAAGGGGCCTCTTAACTGTGATTCCAGGGTGTTTGCATCCGACTCAATCACCAAGTCGGACCGGACCTAGATACTAGTGACTTTAAACCACCGAAACCGTCCAATGTTTTCTGCTTCCCATTAAATACTTGTTAAATGTGGACCATTCCAATTCAGATTCACCGAAGTCAGACCAAGCAAATCGAGATCAGATGCCCATCGAGCCTGCCCAAGGTTTGACACGACAGTTGATTCCAAGAAGGCTTCATTCGCGAGCTGGATGGGTCAAAGCCTTACAAGGGGTAAAGGACTAAAAGACCGAGCCCTTTCCAAATGGAATCAACCAAACAAACACTGTAGGATTGACCATTTAATGAAGTGTAATTCCATCTCACCATAAACTTCTTAATGCGTTTCAACTTCAAGCATACATTGTGATTCATGACAGCATTATGGTCAGGATGTTATCTCCGTGCAATCGAATATTGGATGGGGGCAAGGACCTCGTAACATATCGTGTGGGTCATATCATATTATCACTCAAATTTAAGTGACATTCAAGAAAGTTAGAGAGAGAGATATGCAAAGCAGTGGAGGCGAAAGCAACATCGCATATAGCGTCAAAAAATATAGGGACTTATAGCCCCTTAATAGAGTAAAATGACAAATCAGAATTCATGTAGCAGATCACATTTAGTTGGAAAAAAGCTTTAACGATGATGATATATGTGGAGAGTTGCATAAGCTAGATGACAGTGTGAAAGAATAAATAAACTTAAGCCAGTAACTACACTACTTTTTATCCACTGGAGTAATTACATTTTCTACACTCCGTCTTCGTATCACGAAGAGCTCTTCAATATACACTAAGCCTAGAGAAACACGAAAGAGAGAGAGAGCTAACGCTTTCACTCTGCAGGTAAAAGAGTGATTTCTATCTCTTCTAGTGATTTCCCTTTGGTCTCCACGACATTAAGCTTAACAAAAACTGCTGCAATTACGCAAAACGACGCAAATAATGCATACAAGGCCTGGGCTCCGAGCTGCTCCAGCAATGGCAGAAAAAGCAGGCCCACAAAGAAATTTACCACCTGATGACAGAGAATCATACACAAAATTACATGTGGTGCAGAGAGGTGGTTGTGTGATAGAGAGAGAGAGAGAGAGAGAGAGAGAGAGAGAGAGAGCGTGGTCGTGTGTGCAGTAGAAGGGAGGAAGGAACGTACGTACGTACTATAGTAGAGACGAGAGAGTACGTTAGTTTCGTGTCGTGTGCTAGTGACTGTGTGTAGTAGTAAGAGAGA